TATGGAAAAGAGCTGGCCAGCTCTCGCAGCCTGGCAGGGCTGGCCTGTGCCCAGAAGCTTCCGGAAGGCCCCAGGATGCTGCCTGGATGCAGCAGCTAGTGGGCTGCTGGGCCTCGTTCGGTTGGGCGCCCAACTGTCTCTGTATGAGGCTGCGAATCACGCCCAGGGCCTGCATTCTTTGGAAAGGCCGGGTAGGCCGTGGAAATGTCTTCGGTACTCGGCCTGTGTTTCTTTCAACCAACTGGCGCGTCGCAACTGCCTGGACCCCAAATATGAAATTGACAGTAGAGGGCCTCTTGCAAAAAGCCAGGCCCGCCTTCACTTAGGGCGGGCACATCCGCCTTCACTTAGGGCGGGTAAGGCTGCAGACAGGGCCCAGTAGGCCTACCGAGGACACTGCTCCTCGCAGACAGCTCTTGAAGAGCACAGTCAGAATCTGCCGAAAAAAAAAAAAGGAAGATATTTGGGCACTGTTTTTTCAAATCCGGTTTCCCGGTTCACCCCCCCTGGGCTGGTCCGGCTCCGGTTGGACCAGGGTAGTTCAACCGGCCGGTTGCCAGCCCAGCACTGGTATTGGGTCAGTTTACGACCTCCAGGACCTGCGCATGGTTGGAACAATCAACCATCGTGCACGTGGTTGAACTGTGTTGATGACATCTTTGACAGTTTCCAGGACCTGCACATGGTTGGAACAATCAACCATGAGCGTGCACATGGTTGAACTGTGTTGTTGACATCTTCGACAGTTTTTGACTGGTTGACCATGCCGGTGTGTGACAGAGTCCTATGTGGCCTAGCTGGTTATTCTGTGGACCATGCAAATGGGTATTGGGTCAGTTTCCGACTTCCAGGACCTGCGCATGGTAGGAACAATCAACCAGGAGCATGCACATGGTTGAGCTAGTTTGTTGGATTTGACATTGCTCTGCTTCAGGACCATGCACATGAGGTTTTCTTGGGACTCTGTCCCAGGGCTACAGGCTATTGAGATACTTTTGAGTTTCCTTGCTGTTTTTTTCTTTTTCTTTTTTGCAAAGTTTCCCCAGTTCTACGTCCACTGTTGTGCTCTATGCCTACTGAAGTTTGGGAAGCTCAGGTTGTCAACAAGTTTGCACATATATAACAGCCTACCGCTTTTGTCACTTGTTGGGCACTGCAGCCCAGAGGAACTTTGGTCTGGATAAAGCCGGATGTGGTTGAATGATAGGGAACTTGTGCAGTGCTTTCTGTTGGAGAATGAGTGTATGAGTGTACTGTATACACAATATCCTTGGATTCCCTTTTGCAACCGAGCGTGTAGTTCGCAATACCAATATACTATGACCACATCATCCGAATACTTTGGCTCTCAACCGGGAACCCACTGATAGCCAAAGTTGGCACGCTTTTTCTCTTGTGAACCGCCGCAGGCCTCTGCATCACATGGGCTTGCTGGTCCAAGGCTCACCATACTCAATTGGACTCACTGAAATGACAATGTCAGACTGGTGGGGGAAGGGGTTTAATCTGGTCAACGAAAATGCCAAAGTGTTCGGGAATTAGAAACTAATTTTGCGAGTTTGGTGAGTAGTAGAGCGTGTGTGGTCCCTGCGCCAGCTTTGGATGGAAAATAGTGTCAAGCACGTGCATTGGGGCTGATTTTCAGATAGTACATAGTACTGTTGATAAGCAAGTCAAGCCACCAGCCCTCCAGCCCTCAAAAAAACTGAACCGTCGGGGGTGCGATCTTGCCAGCTGCTGGCAAGCATTCTCCTCTTGTAGGGACGAACGGCGATCTTGCCTTAGCTACGATCCGGACCACCAGACAGGGATTCGGACCGTCTGTGGTCCGGGTCCGGATCTCGATCCGGATGTGTGGGCCCCAGCCCAACGGGCAAAATTTTTTTGGGTGGTCCAGGGCGTTTGTTCACGCCCTGGGCCGCCCCAAAAAAATGGTGCCTGTTTTTTTATCCCTCTCACCAACGATCCGGAAGGCCCGGAAAGTCTACCAGGGGGTTTGGTCACTTTGGTTTTGTTTCCTACCTGTGGCGCAAGTGTGCGGTGCACCTGGAGCAGTGCGGTGGTCACCAATGCGCAAAAAAAGAAAAAAGAAAAAAAGTCGCTGTTATGTGTGAGAACAAGAGAGAGAGAGAGAGAGAGAGAGAGAGAGAGAGAGAGAGAGA